TGTCTCCTTAGAGCTGCCCTCGCTCAGCCCCTCTCGATGTCCTGCCCAGCTCTATCTCATGACGGGGCAGGGCTGGCCGGCATCCGGCCTTCTGGTCCAAACAAGATAGAAAAGCTAAATAGCTCTATTTCTTCACCCCTATAATTTAGGGAAAGGGAAGCTGCACTCCATGACCACTCTTCACCCTTTGATGTATTTCAATGTGCCTTGTAGCCTTGCAATTTTTTCCCCCACATCATTACAGGATAATACTAAGTGTGTGTTAACATAAGAGCTGCCAAAGATATTTGAAAGGCTTGTTTGTCCCTCCGCAAAGGGAAATCCTCCCCCTCCCTGCCATATGCACTTATCACTCCAGAGATTCATTCTTCTTTGAGCTAGCCAGAAGTGCAGTTGCCTTTCTGGTGTTCTTTTTTGTTTATTTGCTATTTCTGACATTCTGCTGAAAAGGGACTAGGAAAATTGGCAAAACACATGGAAAGGAGTTGCCTCGTGACAATAACATGAGACAAGGCAGGACAAGAGAGGGGTTTAATTTGCCTGGTTTAATATTTTTAACAGAAGTTGACCGTAAAAGAAGGGGTATTATTCATTCACATGTATTGGTGCCTTTTGATGATGGGTTGAGGGGAGAATTTTGGCATTGCTTTTATACTGATGTGCCCTCTAGTCAGATTTAATATGCATACAGATAAAGCTCACCAAACTCCTTTAGAAGAAAGCTTTAAAAAAAATTTCTCCAAATTATCCCTAACTAAAAGAGTATCATATACTCATTTATGTAGTTTCCCAAAGCCTCGGCTTTCCACCTTGCTTTTTAGAAAATGGCTTTGAATGTTTTTCCCGTTTTATCTTTAAAGTGAAGCCCTTCACCTTTTCCGAGGTGAGAAGCGCTGTCAATAGGAGCCCTTGGCCGTGGTTCTGCTCCACGCGGTGACATTCAAGCAGAGGGTTAAAAGCAGCCCAGAGATTGGTTTGGCCCTTAGAAGTTTTGCTGTAACTAATCATTTGAGAACATTTATGTGACCTCTTTGGTATGCCACAGATATGGAAATCTCAGGAATATCTGTCTGAAATCCGTCTAGATCAACATCTCTGATATATACTGAGTTTGTACTCCGAGGGGTGCTTCACATAATCCCAGCCTGGATGTTGCTGGCAAAACCAACCACCTGCTGCTTTACTGTCTGAAAGGAGGAGCCTCCGTACAGATGCACATTTTAGGAAGACATGGTAATTCATGTCATGCAAAGTTTTTAAGGTTATTGCAAAATGCAGAACCCAGAACACATTTCAAAATGCTCAGGAGACCTGAGCCAGCTCGAGCCCTGCTGGGAGCCCTGGTGGGAACCGCAGAGCAGAAATTCTCTGCAGCTGTCCCCACTTCCTAGGAACAGCCACACGTGGCCAACTGCGTCTTCGTAAGGGATGAAATCATGAATTGGCCTTTTCTTGCTGTGTTTTTAGCCCATCCCTCTTCTTACAGCTGCAAAAGCCACGATTTCCTGGAAAATCTCAACACGTTGTTCGGAGTTAACAGAAGTCTCTGCAGGCATGGGAGGTCAGGAAGGCATGTGGCCAGCCCCACCGTCCCAGCCAGAGAGAGCTGTTAGTTGAACAGACTGAGGTGCTCAGGGCGGAGCTGTCTTTCATTCTCTTGAACTAGAAAACCTCTTTTTTTCTCTGTGTGGCTTTTAATTCTTCTGAATGAAAACCCTCTCTTTTTTTCCTATGTGGCTGTTAGAAAGACACTAACTGTTCTCGCAAGCAGTTCCACGGTCACGGGTTTGGATGTGCTCAGTGGCTGCAAAAGAATTCAAAGGGAAAGGAAGCACAAGTGCCAACTAGGTAAGAAAATACTTCTGTATTTTTACAACATGATTGGAAGGACGAGGTGCCTCCATGCTTCATAGCTGAAGGGTAAGTTGCTCAGCTGCAAAATGTTCCCTCTTCCACTAGCAGAAAGCTCTTGGCCTGTTGTACGCTCATGAAATACATTTCTAGGGGGATGTTACTGCACGTAACGGTGCTGGACTCAGTGCTGCTGGCTTCTCCTTCCCCCGCTGCTCCTGGGGAGTAATAGGTACTGCAAACTCTGTGGATGCTTAAAAATCCTCCAAGCCTTTTGCGTTGCTTGTTTTTCTTCCCAAGATTATTTTTAATCCTGATTGGTGTTGCAATCCAGTTTACAGTGCTGTCCTACAGTGGTAATTAGGAGGCAGAAAGGATTAATGGCTGCAGGAAGAGGTGGCAAAAGCAACCGTGGGCACAGAGCAATGCCTCTAGCGATGACTTACTGGGAGGTGCGAGGACTTTGGACCGTGCCAGGTCCAGCTGCCCCATGATGCAGAGCCACATTCACACGGTGTAACCTGGAGAGCAGAGTACATGCCGAGGAGTGGGAGAGGGGGACAGCGTTTCGTTAGTTCCCACTCAGCTAAGCTGTCCCAAGGTGAGCCTGGGACCGCAGAACTTGTCTTTGCTTAGGAGGAAATTAGGCCATGTCAGCCTCGGGGAGGTGGGGTTTTGCAATATGCTTATTCCAGTGTCATTGCAGGCAGATGATGACAGCGGTGACGCCTTGTCCCCGTTTCCCCAACCCGGCTGCCCTTCCTGCCCCTCTCCTCCTGCGGAGCCCAGGGATGCGGCGGCCGTGCAGCCAGCTGGGCTCGTCGAGCTGCCTGCAAGCAGGTCTCCCTTTGCGGACTGGAGTTTTCTGTTCCATCAGCGGCGTGATCCAAGTCACCGTGTGGTTGCGTAGTCGTTAGGTCGGACGCAAACGGCAGGAAGGTGGCGGAGGCCGGGGCGGTGAG